CAAAAAAAAAAAAAAAAAGAAATTTGTGGATATGTGTAGAGTTGGCTTGGTGGATGAAGAGGCCTTCTATCCCTACCTCTGGGGAATGCGGAGAAGCAGAAGCCTTCAAGAAGCAACTTTAGAATCCTTCTTAAAACCCTAATATGTAACAGGTAAAAGTAGAGCTGCATCTTGGGTACTAAATGAGATCGAACTGTGCATATCAGATTTTATTTTGGTTTAATTTGCATTATTTTATTTCAGTTTGTAAGACTGAACATTGAAAAGTGTTTTTTTTTTTTTGGCCAGGCATGGTCGCTCACACCTATAATCCCAGCATTTTGGGAGGCTGAGGAGGCTGAGGTGAAAGGATTGCCTGAACCCACAAGCTCAAGACCAGCCTGGGCAACTTGGCAAGACCTCATCTCTACATAAATAAATTTTTTTTTTTTTTTGAGTTCGATTCTCACTCTGTTGCCCAGACTGGATTGCAGTGGCCACTCCCGGCCACCGTAGCCTCTACCTGCTGGCCTCCGGCGACCCTTCCGCCTCAGCCTTCCAAGTAGCTGGAACTACAGACATGTGCTACCACGCCCAGCTGATTTTTTGAATTATTCTAGAGATGAGGTCTCGCTGCCCAGGCGGATCTCAAACCCGCAGGCTCAGTCAATCCACTCACCTCAGCCTCCCAAAGGCACGGGATTACAGGCTGAGCCACCGAGCCCGGCTGAAAATTATTTTTTATTTACATTTTTTCCTTTGCAAATTATCTTTAAAGTTCTCTGCAGAGGTGGTAGTGCATGGCTATTTGGAAGGCTGAGGCAGAGGGATCGCCTGAGCCCAGCAGCTCGAGGTTGTGGTGGTCAGGAGCGTGCTACTCCGACTCAAAAAAAAAAGAAAGAAATAGGGTTTTGCTACACTGCCCATGGTGGTCTTAAACTCCTCAATGCAAACGATTCTCTTATCTCAGCCTCCCAAAGTGCTGACATTACAGGCATGAACCAACATACCTGACCTTTTGTTAGCCTCTTAATTGATTTATTTATTGTGGTAAAATAAATGCAGCATAAAGTTTAGTACCTTAACCATTTTTACATGTATAGTTTGGTGGTACTAAATACATTCATAATGTTGTGTGACAGTCTCCCAATCCATCTCCAGAAGTCCATCATTCTGAACTGAAGCTCTGGGCACATTACACAGTGGCTCCTTGTTCCCTCCTTCACCTGCCCCTGTCAGTTGCTATTCTACTTTCTGTTCCTGTGAGTTTGACTACTCTAGTTGCCTTATATAAAGGAAATCATTGATATTTGCCTTTTGTGACTGGCTTATTACACTTAGCACATGTCCTTAAGATTCATCCATTTTGGAATGGGTGTCAGAATTTCCTTCCTTTTAAAAAAAGTTGCTGCCAGGCATGGTGGCTCACACCAGTAATCCCAGCACTTTGGGAGGTGGAGGCAAGAGGATTACCTAAGCTCAGGGGTTTGAGACCAGCTTGGGCAACTTGGTGAGATCTCATCTCTACAAAATATCAAAAAAGTTAGCCAGGCTTGGTGACACACTCTTGTGCTTCCAGCAACTTGGAAGGCTGAGGCAGAAGCATTACCTGAGCCCAGTGGGGGCTGCTGTGGCTGTGAGTGTGCCACTGCACTCCAGCCTGGGTGACAGAGTGAGACTGAGTGAAAAAAAAAAAAAGAAAAATAAGTGGTAAAAAATACACATAACATAAAATTTACCACCTTAACGCTTTTTTTGAGTTGGAGTCTCACTTTTGTCGCCCAGACTGGATGGAGTGCAGTGGCGTGCTCATGGCTACCACAGCCTCGACCTGCTGGGCTCCGGCAATCCTTCCACCTCAGCCTTCCAAGTAGCTGGAACTACAGATGCACGCCACCATGCCCTACTAACCGTAACCATTTTTAGGTGTACAGACTAGTAGTGTTTAGTATACTCACATTGTTTTCAGACAGATCTCTAGAACATTCTCATCTTGCAAAACTGAAACGCTATACGTAGCAAACAGCAACTTCCCTTCCCTTCCTGTCAGCCCCTGGTAGCCACCATTCTGCCTTCTGTTTCTATGAGTTTGATTGCTCCAGATGTCTCAGAAAAACGAAAGCACACCGTACCTGCCTTTCTGTGACTAGTTTATTTCACAGATGCGTCCATATTGAAACCTGTGTCAGAATTTCCTTCTGAAGACTAAATGATCCGTTGCATGTGTAAACTGCATTTTGTTTATCCATTCATCTGTTGATGGACATTTTGGATTATTTTCACCTTTTGACTGTTATGAGTACTGCTGCTATGATGTTGATATACACATATTGCACATAAAATTTTATAAACTCCTTTTTTTTTTTGAGTTGGAGTCTCACTCTGTCGCCCAGACTGGAGTGCAGTGGCCGCTCCCAGCCACCGCAGCCTCGACCTGCTGGGCTCCGGCGATCCTTCCGCCTCAGCCTTCCAAGTAGCTGGAATTACAGGCGTGCGCTACCACACCCGGCTGATTTTTTGATTTATTGTAGAGATGAGGGCTTGCTGCCCAGGCGGGTCTTGAGCCCGCGGGCTCAGGCAATCCACTCACCTCAGCCTCCCAAAGGCGCGGGATTACAGGCTGAGCCACCGAGCCCGGTTTATAAACTCCTTTTTTTAAATCCGGTCCATACATATTGAACATCCTTCTGTGTTCTTTTATGATGTCCTTCAATTTTTAAAATTCTTATCCTTTTGTTGGATCCCTAACTTATTTCCAAATTTTCATTGTTAAAATATGAACAACTTCCTAATGGCCTTCCTTACAGCCTCAAATTCTTTTTTTTCTTTTTTGAGTTGGTGTCTCACTCTATCGCCCAGGCTAGAATGCAGTGGCACACTGACGGCCACCGCAGCCTTGACCTGACTTGCTGGGCTCAGGCGATCCTTCTGCCTCAGCTTTCCAAGTAACTGGAACTACAGGTGCATGCCACCACGCCTGGC